GAGAAATCACCTGATCTCGGGATCCAAGAAGATTTAGTTACTTTCTGCATTTTACTCTCCGACCACGTACTAACTTGATCGTCGGAGGCGGAATTCCGAACAACCGGAGCTTCTGATTGTTGCAGGTACAGACGAACGAGGAGCCAATCTTGGTGACGTAACTCTCCCATAGGACATATCACAAAAAACCCCAAAACACCTTCCATCTCACATTACTTGTACTATAAAATATCACAATGTTTATTGTACTTTTTTTTTTACTTATAATGATTCCGTTTTGCATAGTTTTTAATAAACAAATAATGAAATACTATTGTACTGTTAACCATGCATAGCACGGGTGCTAAATAGTTCCTCTTAGTGACAATTCCCATGGATGAGTTGATTGAGTTCTACACTATAAATGTTCATTGCACAATTCTATCAACAATAATACTATATAGAAATGATACTAAGTTGATATATGGTCATATGGAGAGGTCCAAACTCCAAACCAATCATGTAAACTTTGTTATTCCAATTGAAGTCGTTTATGACTAGCAAAGTGCATTTCTTGTTCCCTATAAATGATAAGGAGTACACAACAGTAAAGACAATTGTCATACACCCTTCCTGAATTTGCTTAATCTTCTTCTTATTACTATCATTTGATCTGCAACACTAATCTTTGATAGCTTTAATGTCGTTAAAGAAAAAATGTTGGTAACACAAACATTAATTCTCTCAAGCATGCATGACATTTGGAAAATTCATTTCTTGAGCCTAGTAAGAAGCACTGAGTTACCTAAAGTAATACTGTTAGAAAAGACAAAGTATCTCTTGAGGTCCACATCTTTATTCTTGCATTACCATAATTTACAGCTATAATATCACATTAGTTCTTTCGTTGTAGTCTTCTCTGTGCATTGATTTTTGTCCTCATTGGGATTTTTGAATGGCGAATAACCTAAAGTGAAAATATGACTTCCCTTCTTTTGTTAGGAAAAATATTTTCCACCCTTTTGAAAACCAAATAAAAGAAAATGAGAAAAAAAATGAAAAATAACTTTTCATACTACTTCCGTTTCATATTATATGCAATATTTACTAAAAATAGTTGCTACACATTATGTACAACAAATGTATTCCTTTTTTTTTTTAGTTACTACACATTTACTAAAAATTACTTTTCATACTATTTCTCTTTTCATCACGTGAGAATTCCGTGTCAAAGCCTTTGATTCACATAATATGAAACGGAGATAATACAAACATTTATACAAATCAGACCCACGCAGGGAAAGGCAATTGATAACTAATCAGTAATCAACCAGGCAAATTGATAACTAATCACTTAATTAGTAATCAACAAAAGTTGAGTTTTATTCAAGAATGTATTAACAAAGCCTTAACAAAAACAACTGAGCTTTAATTTTGTGGGGAGAGTCTACAATACATGACGTGGACTGCTATGTACTTTAACTGTTATGTACTGCTATGTATTAGTAAGTAATTAAAAAAAAAACTTAATCCCTTTTAGATTCCTTTTAAATTTATATTTCATTGTTTTTAGTTGGATATTGTGTTTCTTTTATTATTATTATTATTATTATTATTATTAGTATTATTATTATTATTATTATTAGGATCATTAAAAAGATTATATATATATTTATATATATATATATATATATATATTTTTCTTCAGGAAAACAAAAAATTTACGTAAGTGAGCCTAATGAGGTTTAGGCTATTGTTACGGTTTTTTCATCTAAGATTTTTATTTATTTGATATATTGTATTTAATAATTTCAGACAAAATTACAAAAGTTTAATTTTTTTTTACTATAATTTGTAATGAATCTATTAAATACAAATAAAATCTTTACATTTATATAAAATGAATCAATATATTTACAAATAAATGAAAAATTTTTGCGGTATAAAATCAAATCTATGCATTGGAATTTTTTAATTGGTTGAAAACATACCTTTGCTTATGTGGCGCGCCAAATGCTCTGTAAAAATGCCTACTTTATTTATATATATTAGATTAGATTTTTTTGAAGAATATTGATTTTTAAAAAAAAAAATAAAATTGAAGAATATTAGTTAATTATTAATAATTTATATTTATTTAAAAAAAATTTTAAAGAAAAAAAAATTGATTGAACGTTTTCTTAAAAACAAAATGAACATATTTTTCCTTTTTCAAATATTTAATTTTAAAGTGTTTGTATATCATAATTGTATAATTTATAGTGTTTTTTTTTTAATTTAAATCCTAATATCAAAAGATCATCTTTTAAAAAAGATAATTTTTAGTTTATAATAATTTAATTCTTAATAAATATTTATTCGTCGTTTTGACCTATGTGGCGAAAATTTTAAATTTCATTCGTCACTTTTGCTTATGTGGCGAGTGAATTTTTTAATTCTAAAATAAAATACAAATCTTTTAATTGGTCGAAATAATACCTTTGCTTATGTGGCGCGCCAAATGCTCTCCAAAAATGCCTGTTTTATTTATTTTTAATTATTTGATTTATTGTATTTAATAATTTCAGACAAAATTACAAAAGTTTAATAACTATTTTTTTACTATAATTTATAATGAATTTATTAAATATAAATAAATTGTAAATATTATTTTTTTTCCGTTATATAAAATCTTTAATGTGAAATGATATATTTTTAATAATTTAAATCCTAAATCATTATTCATTGTTTTACCATATCTTTTATTTCGATAGAATCACCAACCTCGTCCACAACCAACCTACTACAAATAAATTGAACCGTGAAATATTAGCCAAACTGAAATTGATATAAATTAAATATTTACATTTATATAAAATAAATCAATATATTTACAAAAATTGTTGCGATATAAAATCAAATCTATGCATTGAAATTTTTTCATCATCTCCAAAAATAACCAAAGCCATCCATGTATTAATTATACAACATCTAATCGTATGCCATTATATAAACAAATAATCGTTAAGTATCCTAAATAAATACAATGTAACTAATAATTACAAATATAAATTTAAACATAAGATTCTAAAAATTACCCGGACATTGATGACCTAAAACTAACACAAAATTATTAACACAAAATTCGCTTGATGGGGTTTTGTATTGATACAAAATTTTATTTGTGTCGTATGATGTGTTAGATCTGCATTACAAATATAAATTTAAACATAAGATTCTAAAAATTACCCGGACATTGATGACCTAAAACTAACACAAAATTCGCTTGATGGGTTTTGGATTGATATGAAATTTTATTTGTATCGTATGATGTGTTAGATCTGCATGTAAAAAACATTTAGTAAATAAAACATAAACATATATTCGTTGAGTATCCCAAATTAATACAATGTAAGTAATAATTAGAAATACTAATTTAAACATAGGATTTTAAAAATTAAGCTAAAAATTACCCGGCCATTGATGACCAAAAATTAACACAAAATTGCTAACACAAAATTCGCTTGATGGGGTTTTTTATTGATAGGGGTTTTTTATTGATACGAAATTTTGTTTGTGTCGTATGATGTGTCAATTTATAATGGTAGGTAACACAAATTTTAATTTAATTATAATTAGCGAACAATTTGTATTTCTTATCATATATACTATCAAAATTTATCTTATAATAATAGGTATCAAACTTTATTATAAGCGTTCATCATTTAAATATTTCTTAGTACATTGTTTTTCGGATTTCTTATACTCTTAGTATTGAATTAATAAATTATCTTTTCCTATATTTTTACTTTATTTTTTTTTATTAAAATAATTTAATTCGTGGATTATAATCTATGTAGCATTAAAATTTTAGATATATCAAATCTAATTTGTTACTTTTATCTAGGTGACGACATAATTTTTTAATTCAAAAATAAAACAAATCTTTCTTCTTATTGAGTCGAAATAAGCATATTTGTTATATGGCGCTCCGAATGTTCTCCAAAAATGCCTACTTTATTTATATATATTAGATTTTTTTTTTCAGGAAAACAAAAAATTTACGTAAGTGAGCCTAATGAGGTTTAGGCTATTGTTTTGTTTATTTTCTTTTTTCCCTTTTTATCCTGATCCACAACCTTTTTTTTTTTTTTCTTTTCCAGTAAATATACATGCATTGTTTATGTTGGGTGGAAATATGTTGACAATTTACATTTTTAATAGAGTTTGCAACAAATTTAAAGGTATCAGACGGTTTAACAATTGTATATAAGATATGAAATTAAATATATATTTTTTCAAACTTCTACGCTACTTAAATAATACTACGTATGTTATAGAAAAAATATTAGATGGAAAAGATTATTATTCTCTCTAATTATTGACAGGTTGAGAATAAAATAGTTACAATGTATATATATACAAGTAAATTTGGATTCTTAGTCCTTTTCCATTTAATTCTTGTTTGATTTTTTTAAATCTATTTTCTTTATCTTTAATTGTCAATTGTTATGTCGGATGGCTTTAATCAATGAAAATTAGTGTCCTTTGGATTTCGGGTGGGACTTCTTTAAAAAAAATAAAAAATTGATTGTAGTGGTTGAGTTGATATTAATAGAATCGTAAATATCAAATTGCGTGGGATGATTCGAGTTAGATAATTTTTTATTATTTATAAATTAGCCTTAAAATTTGTCAGAATATGTAAGACTCAAACTACAACATAAAAAATACATACAAATATTAGCTTAAAAAAAGATTTTTTTTTAAAAAAAAAATTAATTTTAAAAAACTTGATTAGTTGTACGGTGTAAAAAATCATGTTTTCTTCGGCTTAAAATTGATGATACGAGAATATTTAAAATAAATTTAATTAAAAAATTTGATGTAAAATAAGTCAATTAAAAATAAATATAATGTGGAAAAGATTTGATCTTAGTACCACGCTAATAAAATTGATAAAATTATTCACCATCTTAGCTAAATTTAACTACATGTTTTATAAATACAAAAAACAAATAATATTTAAATTAATCTCATAAATGGTACATAGCGGTATGCTACTTTAATAGTACATAGCTGTGCACGACCTCTATTGTAGAATTATCCTAATTTTGTGTTACAAGTTCCCCTTTAGAGCATTGCCAATGGTGGGCATTTTATTTGCTCATGGGCATATTTGATGAGCAAATAAAATGCTCACCACTTACAATGGTGAGGAAAAACAAAAACCTCAAAAAAAGCTCATGGGCAAATCCAAAAATGCCCACAACATGGGCATTTTTATTGATGAACAGTGATAGCGGTGGGGCCCACAACTTGCTGCTGTTTGTAAAAAAATTTGGCTGCCAGCAACTCAAAACGATGTGTTTTGGGCAAGCAACGCCTCAAAACACGTCGTTTTGAGGGTCAGAATTTAAAAAAAAAAAAAAGAAAGCCTGCTGTTGCGCGTCAGGCATGATGACGAATGGGCACGCGACACGTGTCCTGGGCAGTCTATTGGCCAATGAGAAAATTATAGCCGTTTACAACGATTATAATTTTGTAATTCATTTTCTGAAAAATATATTTAGTAAAAAAATAAAAATACCAACGGTCATAAAATTAAATTGTCTATAAATAGACATGCATTTTGATATATTTTGATATAATTTTGTAAACACTTTAAATAGACATGCATTTTGATATATTTTGATATAATTTTGTAAACACTTTAAAGCGCAGTACGCCGGTAGGAACAAGAAAGCAACGCTAATACTGGAAGCCGTTGCGGATCAGGATTTATGGATATGGAATTCCTTCTTTGGTATTCCCGGATCTTGTAATGATCTTAATGTGTTGTACCGTTCACCAGTGTTCGATGAGGTTCTGCATGGTCGAGCTCCTCCGGTAAATTTTACAGTTAACGGCCATGAATACAACATGGCTTATTACTTAGCCGACGACATTTATCCGAAGTGGGCAACTTTTGTTCAGGGTATCACATTCCCTCAACTGGCCAAAGATAAAATGTTTGCTGACCACCAGGCTGCCGCTCGAAAGGACGTTGAAAGAGCTTTCGGTGTTTTGCAAGCTCGATTTGCAATAATACGAAAATCGTCGCTGGCGTACGATGAGGACATACTGCGGGACATAATGAAAGCATGTATCATTATGCACAACATGATTGTTGAAGATGAGCGCCACAACTACACTCGAGCCGAAGTTCTAAGAGCCTTCTACGAAGAAGATCAACAAGAATTAACACCAGCATCAACGTCTACAACGCCACCGTTTGAATTCAATGTAGGCCGACCTACCTGATTAGGGGATTTTTCCAGCCAATCACCATCTGACAAGTGAACCAACCAGGTTCCGCCATGTGTCCTTCACATGGGCCAATAGGATCCTGCCACGTGTCAAGCAGTGAACTGTCCACCATGGACCAATTACGACCCGACACGTGTCCACCCCATGACACATGGGACAACCGGCCACCAAGGCCCAACTCTTGTGGAAGGCCCAGTCAGCCCTAGGTTTAGCCTAAACCTTGATTGGCACGCTTCCCAAGGTTATAAATACCTTCATTAATCCTCATTAAGGGGGATGACGCACATTAAACACTTTCACCTAGAGAGACTCATTTACCTTATTCCGCATTAATTACTCCCTAAACAAGTACTAACTTGACCGTCGGAGGCGGAGCTCCAACCATCCGGAGTCTCCGTTTGTTTTGCAGGTACAGGCGTCCGGTTCCAGTCTCGGAATTGTAACTCTCCCGCAGAACAACAAAAAAACCCCGAAACATTTTGGCGCCGTCTGTGGGGAGAGTACTTTTGAGATGGCATCAACGTCCGTACCGACTCCAGAAGAGAGGCGTCCCCTGGACGACCCTCAAGTTGAAGTTGAAGCGCACACAGCCTCAGATGGGACTCTAAGGGCCCGACGCACCCGTCACACCGAAAGGAGAGAATGGGTAAATCACCAAACTGGACTCAGTAATCCAGTCGGCACACCGCCTGATCAGCAACAGGCGGCAGAAGGGTCTGCTCCCATTACAAGAAACGAACTCATGACCTTCATGAGAGGGTTCAAGGGGGAAATCCAAGAGTTGATCAATAAGAAGACGCCTGCTCTCTCTAAGGAGCAGTCGGCTAAAAAACCTTCCCATTCAGGAAGAAGGAAGCCTGTTCAAGGACGAGAGGCGACCCCTCATCCTAACTCTAGGAAGTGGGAGCCGCCTGTGCTTGATTTCACAAAGTACCATTTTCCCACGCCAGGGAAGAGGAAGCCTGTTCGTCATATACAAGCGGACGGGTCAAAGAAAACATACTCAGACGCTCGGCTACTGCTGGAGCAGAAGAAGAACGACCGACTGTCAGAGTCGGCCTCGACTTCAGATTTCCAAGATAGTTTGTGCAATACCTCTATGAGGTATACACAGTCAAATCATGAGAGTCAAACAGACGGTACCTCCCGTCGGTCTGGATTTCATAACGACCAGGCGGTACCAAACTTACCATTTGTACCGCAACAACAATATTTTCTGCAGCCGCCTCTATTTGGAGGGCAGGCGGCAAAAAATGTCCAGCCTTTGGACTGGCAACTACGGTTGCTAAGACTTGGAGAACAACCGTCTGCTTTCTCCAAGGAAATTACTGAAGCCGCTCAGCCGACCAAAGTTAAAAACGTGTTAGTAGGCGCCTATGACGGCACTACTAACCCTGAAGACCATTTGATGGCGTTCACCAACCTAATGTATCTCCAAGGGTTGGATGATCCCACCTGGTGCAAGTGTTTCCCAGCGACTCTCAAAGGAATCGCACAGCAATGGTTCGGCAACCTGCCGACTGGTTGTGTGAACAACTTCAGGACGCTTGCTTACTTATTCACCTCCAATTTTTCCATGAACATACCTGCAAAGAAGACGACTCTTGATTTAGGGACGATTCAGCAGGGCGAGAAGGAGGGGCTCCGTTCATACATCAGGCGGTTCAACCTGATGAGGATACAGATTCAAGGGCTACCGGATGAGGTGGCCTATACTGAATTTTTCAGAGGTCTTAAGGATGGGTCGACCTTCAAGTTTGACCTGGTTCGAAAGAGGGTTGCGACTCTTCAAGAAGCCTTGATCGAAGCAGAAGCCTATATACAAGCGACTGATCTCTGTAGTACTGGTAAACAGGCGGACGGAAGGAGGTCCGACAAAAAAGAAGGCCGACCAAAGAAGTCGGCCAATAAAGATGATAAGAAGAGAAAAGAGGTCTGGGCGGTTGATTCCTCAAAACAGCCGGCCCAGAAGAAGAAAAAATAATTCAAACCATACTCCCCAAAGTATGCGTTCAACAAGGATAGCCAAGCTATCCTCAAAGAAATAAAGGGACGGATCTCAATTGAGAAGCCGGCCCCGATGAAGGGTTCTGTGAGCAATCGAAACCAAGATAAATTCTGCAATTATCATGAAGATGTTGGTCATGAAACCAACGAATGCATCAGTCTCATGCGATATCTAGACCGCCTGGCTGAACAAGGCGACCTTGAATCCTATGTCAAGAAGTCAAAGGGGAATACTTCCTCAAAGAATAAGCAGTCGGCCAAAAAAAGCCAACAGGCCGACAATTCTGATACAGATGATGCAGTCGTCTACACAATTGCAGGCGGTTCTCAGGAGGCGGCCCCACTATCAGGGGCAACAAAGACAACATCAGGCGGCTAGATGTCAATTCCGTTCACCAAGAACGGCCCTCCAAAAATTCATTCCTTGAAATTGTCATCACCGAAGAAGATTTAGGAGGGGTTAGGGGGCCGCATGACGACCCCATTGTTATTGAATGCAAAGTGGCCAACCAAAGAGTTGGTCGAATCCTCATAGATACCGGTAGTTCCTCCGACCTTATCAGTAGCAAGTGTCTGTCAAAGCTCAAATACAAGACTGATTGCATACATCCGGTATCCCACCCTCTAGTAGGGTTTGGAGGAGGAGGAGTCCACCCTGTAGGGCGAGTGGATTTACCCATCCGCCTGGGTGAAAAGGGGGAGGGTCGCCACATGGTGGTCCGGTTCCTGGTAGTTGAGGAACTCTCGGCCTACAACATGATTCTGGGACGACGTACCCTAAATAATTCAAAAGCTATCATTATCCCATCTCTTATGTTGCTCAAATTTGAGAAGGATGATGGAACAGTCGGCTCCCTAAGGGGAGATCAAAAGATGGCTCGAGAGTGCTACCTCTTGGATATCAAACCCACTGTCATGGCCGTTGGGTCAAGTGGTGAAAAATTAGATCCTGACGTTGTCAAGCAGGATGCGCTTGCTCCAGAACAAGCGGCAAGAAAAGAAAGGCTGCCCAGTTGGGAGCCGCAAGAAAAGAAAAAAGATAGCAATCACTGACAGAGGAGTGGTCAGATGAATTCCGCCCTCAGCCGGCTGGTGAGCATACGGACCTGGTCCTGGACGACTCCCGCCCTGACCGGATAGTCCAGGTCGGGACGACTGCTCTTAGAGTTCTGGGTGAAGATTTTCACCAACTTCTAAAAGAATACAAAGACATCTTTACATTCGAAGTCCATGAAATGCAAGGCATCAGTCCTGATCTGGCGGTACATAAACTGGCCGTGGATCCGAAAAAGAAGCCGGTAAGGCAGAAGAAGCGGAACCATGGAGAAGAGAGGAGTCAGGCGGTAGCCACCGAAGTTAAGAAGCTTCTTGATGCAGGGTTCATTCGGCAATGTTACTTCCCAGACTGGGTTGCAAATGTTGTGCTTGTTAAAAAGCCGAATGGTACCTGGTGAATGTGTGTGACTACACGGACCTAAACAAGGCGTGCCCGTAGGACAGTTACCCTCTGCCCAAAATTGATAATCTGGTCGACTCAACAGCCGGCCATGCTTTGATGAGCTTTATAGACGCCTACTCTGGCTTTCATCAAATTCCTTTGTGGAAGAAAGATCAGGAGAAGACGACCTTCGTCACTGATCAAGGGTTATACTGCTACACGGTCATGCCGCTTGGTCTGAAGAATGCCTCGGCCACCTTCCAAAGAATGATAAATACTGTATTCTTTGACCAGATTAGGAGGAACGTCGAGGCATACATTGATGATATGATTGTTAAGTCTAAGCTTCAGATAGATCATCTGTCGGACCTCCGAGAAACTTTCTCCACACTCAGGCGGCACCATGTCATGCTCAATCCCAAGAAATGTGTGTTTGGGGTTGAGTCTGGGAAATTTCTCGGATTCCTCATCAATCAGAGAGGAATAGAGGCGAACCCTGAGAAAGTGCAGGCGGTCATCGACATGCAGTCGCCTCACACCGTCCGAGAGGTTCAGAAGCTAACAGGTTGTCTGGCGGCTCTGGGAAGATTTCTAAGCCGATCAGGCGACAAGTGCCTTTACTTTTTCCAGGCTATAAAGAAGAAGGCAAGGTTTGAATGGGGGCCGGATGCTAAGGCGGCCTTCCAAAAATTGAAAGTTCACTTACATTCCTTGCCAAGGCTGGTCAGTCCTTTGCCCAAAGAAGTGCTTTACATGTACCTGGCCGTCTCTGATCATGCTCTAAGCGCTGTCCTTCTTGCTGAAAGAGACGGCTGCTAGCTCCCGGTCTACTTTGTCAGTCATGTACTGAAAAATGCCGAGTTGAGATATCCTTTAGTGGAAAAGTTCGGTCTTGCCCTCTTCATGGCCGTCAAAAAATTGAAGCCCTATTTCTTGGCACATGCAGTTGTTGTGTATACAGATTAACCAATCAAGCGGCCACTGACAACCATGGAGTCGTCAAGCCGGATGATCAAATGGGCAATAGAAATTCAGAGCCTCGAACTCACATTCGAGCCCAGAAAAGCAGTGAAGGGGCAAGCCTTTGCTGATTTTATTGTAGAGATGACTCGGCCCCCTGATTCTCAAGTACCAGACCAAGTCTGGAAGGTTTACGTGGACGGGAGCTCCACCTCAAATGGTTGCGGAGCAGGCATCATATGTCAGTCGCCAGAGGGCGACAGGTATGAGTATGCTCTACGCTTCAATTTTCAAGCCTCGAACAGCGAGGCAGAATACGAAGCTTTACTAGCCGGAATCCACATGTGCAAGGCGGCTGGGGCAAGAAAGATAGACGCTTGTTCTGATTCACAATTGATAGTGAGCCAGTACAATGGTGAATATGAAGCAACCCATCCGGCAATGATCAAGTATCTACAGGCAGTACGACAAGCAGTCGGATCCCTTGAAGACTTTCATCTGACTCAGGTACCAAGATCTGAAAACAACCAGGCGGATGCTCTTTCCAAGTTAGCATCCTCGGCCTCCTGTGATACTCCACGAACCGTTT